GCCTGTGCCGGGCCTGCGACGTGCTCATCGAGCCCTTCCGCCACGGTGAGCAACGCCTCGCCCGCCCGGGCCTGTCGGGGCGCTGCCCCACCCCCCGCGAGGGCACGAGCCTGCCCATGGGGGCGGGGGGGCCGGTTCCTTCTTGGCCCCAAATCCGGCCCTGCGCCGAGGGGGGCACCGAAAGTCTCGAAGAGGTGCTTGAAGCATTTTTAAAAGCTCCCCGGTGTTTACAGGCACTGTGGAGCCGGGGGGAAGCCCCACGCTGGTGAAGGGTGCGAGCACCTGTGCCTCTTTCCAGCGGGTGCTTGAGCCCCAAGTCGGCACCAGTCCGCAGGACCCTGCAGACGGGAACCGCTGGGTTCAAGTCCCAGCAGGAGCACTGGCATGACCGGGGCAAAGTCCCGGGCCCTGGTGGCAGCCAGCACCCAATGTCTGCGTCGCCCTCCCCGGTCCCGTCTGCGTCACACCGGAGCGGTCCCAGTCCCGTTTGGGTCGTGCCAGGGCGTTCCCGCGAGTGCGCCAGGTCGCAGCCCCTCTTCTGCCTCGTCCAGAGCCTCTTGCCGAGCAGTCCCTGCACTGCCCACCCATGGCCCCGCCAAGTCCTGGCACCTCCTGGTCAACCTCCTCCTGGCTCTGGCCAAGCCGGCTGTCCACCAGACAGGAAGGAGGCCCTGGCTGGGAGGTGCCCGGGCCGGGTGGGGCTGCCTTCCTTCTACCTCCGCTCCTGCCTGGGCAGCGTTTCCCTGGGCAGCACCCGCAGGCTCCCTTCCCTCAGTCAGGGGCAGTGGGTGCTGGCCGTCGTGCTCTGCTCTGTCTCCTTACAGATCCCTTCTTACTAACCTGTGACTTCGTTCCCCCTTTCCAGTTTTCTCATTATTTGTCCCCTGGAATTAGTTGATGTCCCCACAGTGGGCTCCCTTATTGAGAGAGTTTTATCGTATCCCATGATGGGCCCATGATCTTTGGGCAAATCAAACAGGCGTGTCTGGGCAGTCTCTGATGCAGGAACTGTTGTTCCTTGGGGCCCCGAGGCCAGGTCCTGGTTCCCCACTTGTGGATGGCAGAAGTGTGTCATAAAAATGGCCCTGTGTAAACCAACCAGCCCACATCGCTAATAATGTCCGTTATCATTGAACTTTGCAAACATAGCATGCTCTTTGCAATATATTGTTGGGGAGGGTTTTTTTGTTTAACTTCTCTCAGGCTGAACAATGAGAGCTATTAAAACCATTTTGTTTCTATTTGTAGCTGGTTTTCTATATTCCACATTTGTATTTTCAGATTCTTCAACCTAGATCCTGTGATTGGACTTAAGCAAACACCTGGATCAGACCCTGGACAAGTTCCTCGGTCTGTGGTTAAAATAGGCAGTCATTGAACTTGACATTTCATTTTTGCAGAATGAAGCAATTTTTTTTTCCTGTCCAGGAGCTCACTGTGACTGAGTGGAAATCATATTTTTAGCGTGGGGAGCAGTTGAAAGAGGTACACACACTATACCTGTGTGTAATTATCAGGGTGGATGGATTTAAATAGACAAGCGGGAAATCTCAGTTGAAATCATTGATTTGAACTGACGTTTCCATTCATACTTGGGCTGTTTTCCAAAGCAGCGGTTCTCAACCTCCTTAGGCTCAAGTTGTCCCTCTAACTTTTGTGAATTGAGCAGCACTTCGGGTCAAAACCGAACTGGTTTATCACAGTGCTTATCTCCTTGCAGCGTGGCAGGCTGTGGGGTCAGGATATGGGCCAGGCAGGGAGAGCCTGAGCCTGCCCTTATCTCCTCGTGCCTCAGGGCGCCCGTCAAGGGATCTTGCGGCACCTTAGTTGAGAATCACTGTTCAACAGAAATGTGCCTTCTCTTTGGCTGATACAGTCATTCAAATGAAGATTTATCACTACAGAAAGCCTTCATATTAGACAAGGTACATCTTTTTTTCTGCCAAGGAGGTATACTGTAAGTCTCCGTTCTCTTGTACTCCGCCCATAGATTCTCCACGGATTCGGAGTACACGACCTTTTGTACCAAACTTGTCTCAAAAATCAGGTTTTTTTCCTTGTTTCTTTTTTTCTTCTGTAAAAAAGTGTGCAGCCTGTAATTCATAGTTTTTGGTAGAGGCTTATGGATTTGTCATCTTTTTTTTTTTATTTAAATGTTTTAGAAGTTTAGAATAACCATAGGCTTTAACATATTTTATATTAGATTTAGATTTAATGGGTTTATTTTTCAAGAGAGAAATATGATAATTTAAACAACAAAATCAGTAATCCAAATACATAAAATTGTAAAGACGCAGTGATGATATTTCAGGACCAGTCTGGGAAGAGGTTTCCATTTCTTAGCTGCGGTACTGAAGAAGGCATGAAAACAGTTTTAAAAGTCCAGCATTTTTCTTTCCCCCTCCAAGTACACTCTTCTGCTGTACTGCTACAATTCAAGAGACAGAGTTTTGATTAAAGTTTAACAAGTGTCAGGTGAAAGTCCATTTTCTACACCGTTTACAACTTGAAGAATTAGTGTTTTAAAAGTCACATTTTGGAGAAGTGAGATTCAGGCTATACAACTGCTCACTTCTGAAAATTCAGATGGACCAAACATCTATTCCTTTTGATTTCTGAAAAAAATATTCTTGAGCTTTAGTTTACAAAATCAAATGTTCATTAGTGCAGTTCATGTAAAGCAGTGTCCGAGTGAACAATAACCATGGTTGTTTTGCTCGTATGAGCACTAGGCTAAAGGTAACTGAAGCAGACAACTAAAGGAGAACTGCATTGAGCAGGCGAGCAAGGTGCTATGGTCTGATGAAGGAGAAATCCTGAAATAATTGTGACCTAGAGGTTCTGCTAGTGGAGCACATTAGCTAAGAGCTTTTCCTCTTTCATTTGCTACAGCGCCTGGCATTTGAGACCTGTCTGTCTCTCTAGCTTGGCTACGTTCAATGGTACATAAAATAGGTAGCTGGCTGGAATGGTTCTTGAGCATTTGGAAAATGTTGAGGAAACTGGAGAGAAAGAAAGGATCCTGATGCTAAATTTACTTGTACTGTAACATGTATTTAATAGAGCATAAATTGGTGTATTATTGGTGGCTCATATTTTTCCATATTAGCTGTATTCGAAAGAATGTCACACTATGATTGTAATACATTAAAAATAACAACAAAACATTTTACAAGTTTTTACATTAAACCTTTTTGAGTCTGTTTTAAAAACAACGATGTGAGTTGGGATTAAACATTTTTTCTTCTTGTGAAGGTGTCATGGAAAAGCTTGGTCTTGGTCCAGAGATCCTCCTGCGTGAGAATCCAGAACTTATTTATGCTAGACTTACTGGATTTGGTCAGACAGGAACATATGCCAAGTCTGCAGGTCATGACATCAATTATTTGGCTTTGTCAGGTATGTTGTAAAACTTCACGTTAAATTTACCTTATTTTTTCTAAAATCTGGAATTCAGGTTCTAAGAAAGGTCCTATTTGAACAGCTCAAATAACCAACTACGATGTTCTTTAGGTTTTCTTTACGTTTTCTGTGGGTGGAGTATTTTTTTAAATGTTAAAATAATTGTGTTTGTAGTTTTTACCTTCTTTTGGGTGACTCTTACCTCGGTAATCCTTCAGGTCTTTCGTGGTCTATCATGTAGTGCTGCTCTCCCTCTCCATCACTGCTGATAGTCATTGTTAATGAAGGGTGTCACAGTCTTGACTTCTACTGAACTTCATAATAAAAAGCACGCTGCCTGCAAAATCACTTTCTTTTCCCTGGTACTGATTTCTGCAATACTATTTTGTGTAGGTTCTGGCTGTTGTTACTGTAATTGCTTATTGCAAGATACTAGACACAAGTAGCAACGCTATAATTCAAATTTTTGGCCCTTTTTTCATAGAATGGATTCTGTCAGAATTTCAGTTTGGAAAAAAAAGATCGGAATAGTAAATGCCTTGTTTGCAAATTATTTTCTAGACTTCCAGTAGTCAGGGGCAGAACATCTGAAACGGATCTTGTGAGCACTTTCCATAGCAAACTATGAACCCAGTTTTTTACGCATAAACAGAAAAAGCACAGCTGTGGTTTGCCTACCCGGGGGTGGCTACCCCTTCCCCACCATGTGTGACTGGAGTTCTGATCCTGGGGCAGCAGGTGCAGCTACAGCATAGCCCTTGTTTCACATATAGAAAGGGTAATGGCTGAGAGTGTGTTCACCTTCTGCCGTGGGTGGCCAGGGTTTGCTTTTTCCCTGGAGCTGCCCCTATCCATTGCCCACATGGCATCAGCTGGAGGCAGCATCTCTGCTGTGGGTGTGGGGGGAAACAGGAGCATCCTCCTATTGCCCCATGGATTAAGAGCGTGCCTTAGAGGTGACTTTGTAGCTCTCTAGTCAGTGGGCTGGAATGCTTGCACTCTGCAAAGTGCTGAGATGCTTTGGAGCAACTACAACTGAACACCTGTCTGTAACCTGATTTTACTTGACTCCATGTAACATTTAGGGGCTCAGTTTGCAGGTTTGCATCTATGTGATTAGGTACCTGAAACCCCATTTTATATCCCAGAAATCAGAACTGACATGCTTATGTTGGCATACTAGGTACCTAAATATAAAAGAGCTAAGAAAGATGACTGATATGTTCAAAGTTTTTCAGTTGTACCATTGAGGAAATAAAGAAGCTTTGATCCCTATTGCCTGAAATACTTGATTCAAAGTGACAACATGTTTCATTTCCATTGCCGCATTAGATTGACTGTATGACCTGTAGCAAGTGAACCATCTTTTTTCTGTGTCTGTGTTCTATGCATTGAATAGGAATGACAGTATTGTCTTTACCCTATTTCACTTTCTTTTATCCCCTGTCTTATCCTTCTTTTCCAAAGCTGTTGACTTGGATGCATTTGTGTGAGGTCCTTCTTCAGACTTTTAGTTAATGGACTGTTTGTCCAGTGCTTGTAATTGTATATTAAAAAATAACAACAAACAAAACAAGCTCACTTATGTGTTGTGAGTCTCAATTCATGTTGGTAAAACTCACTGGTTTTTACCTGAAAGGTGCTACATAAATACAGAGTATTATGCTGACATTTAATTAATGCAGTTGTTGGCAATTAGTATTATCTTGTGTTATTTATTAGTAGCCTAAACCTCATTGGATGTTGAAAGCCGTACTGAAAAATCTATCTGATGAAATAATAAACTATTAATTAATATAACTTTAAATATTGTAGTTTTATGAACGAACGAGCAGTTTGCTGACGTATGACTAGAATCAAGTAATGTTTAGAAACCGAGGGGTAAGGAAAAGTCTTTATCCTTATCTATGCTACTGCCATAAATTCAAGAAAAGGGGATTTCAGTATTGGAAAAAGAAAATCTAGTAGTCATTCATTTTGTAATTTTTTTTCCTTTGCTGTCCAGGTGTATTGTCAAGACTTGGTAGAAAAGATGAAAATCCATATGCCCCACTAAATCTTCTGGCTGATTTTGCTGGTGGAGGGGTCTTGTGTGCAATGGGAATTATTATGGCCCTTTATGAACGTACCAGATCTAGCAAAGGGCAAGTCATCGATGCAAGTATGGTGAGTTTTCTTTATTAGCTATCATTTTTACAAACTCTAATTCCGCAGAAGGCCTGGGTGTTAGAGAAATGAAAAGCTAAGCAACCTAACAGGACATCAACTTTTACTCACTGGCAAGTGTCTCATTGCACCTGGCTGCTGCCATCCTACCTTAAGCCAAAGACCAGAAACTACAACCTGAGTTCTGTCTTTTACGAATGCTAGTGTCCACTTCTCCCTTCACTAAATGATCTCCTCTTAACACTATTAGTTGCACATATTCACTAGCACAGTTTATATTGTAAAGGGGTTGGATTAGATCTTACATGTTTCCAACAGCTCACAGGATGCATGGTGACAAAAAGTCTTTAATCTTAACATATTTTTTATCTTATCCTATCTAAGATTCAGTTGTCTTCCAATATGTATATAGACAAGGTCTTTTGAAAGGTATCAGTTAAAAAAAACTGCTGGGAATAAAATGTTGACCAAATGTTAATTTTAACCACTTGTAATTAGTTTTATTAAAAGAAAGTAAAGATACTAGGTAGGAAATTCAAAGTGTTTCCGGATGAGCACTATGACATTTCTTATCTTCTTCTTTAACCTTATCTTTTAAAGCAAACTTAACTAGAGTTAAAATCAATGTCTCTGTAATAATATTGTCATTTTTATTATTGGCAACCACTATTAATTAAGGCAATTATTCATTTTGTGCTCTCAATGCCAACATAATTGTATTAAGACATTTGAATTTAATTAAGAATTCTGACAAGATGTAGAATTTCCAAAGGGTTTCTTTTCACAGCCTTTTTCCATAGCTTCAAAATGACTTCTTATGAAGTTTTCACCTTCTTCCACATAGTAGTTGGCCATTTGTTAAGACTCCTTGAAATAGCTTCTTGTTGGAAGCGTCTTCAAATCCTCTTGGAATTTTGAGAGAGACAAGGGGTTGTGGTATTTGTTATTGGATCTCAAATTTAGCTAAGTTTTGTCTGGGTGCAATTTAAAATATAGAGATTTAAGTTTTTTAGGATACAAATAATTTCAGGAATTTTATATGAAAAATATCTTTTAAAGCTATGGAATATGCAAGCCAAAATGATAAATAGATATGATTCCAATTTGAAAAGCATTCATGTTTATGGGAATAACTCCACTAATACTAGTAGTGACACACTATTATAAATAGATATACAGTACAGTCAGACCCAGTGTCACCTTTATGATTTCCTGTAACTGGGAAGAGTGTAGGACAAAGTGATCTTTAGGAAGAGAAACAATAGTGTTGATATTCCTGTCATCATTTCACAGCTATTTAGAGAGAGCTACAGAATCCTTGTTCATTGACTAGGACTCTAACTGAATTGAACACATGAGAATGGAACAAAAGTGGTCTTTTTCTTATGGGATAGACTTCTCAGTGTTTCATGAGAGTGCTAAACAAAGTATATTAAAAGGAGACCCTCATGATTCTGTGTTCTTTAAGATTTTAAAGGTTTTTGTTGTTTGTGCTTGAAAGAAGAAATTAATAGGTACTTCGGCAACCAAGTTCTGTCATATTTTGTCTCAGTAAACTTTCTTTTCGGTATTTCATAGATATTTTGAGACTAAATAGCAGTATTGGAAGCAAATAAATACTATTTGGTATTAACAGATATTGATATGCATTGGCAATGCAGTGGAATCCTAGAATTTGCCATGACATTAATGAGGTCAACATAAAGGTAACAAATGCTTGGGTCAAGTGACACCAAACCTTTTTGGAATTCACTTGGAGATATACAAATATTCCTTTAGCCCCATTTTAAAAAAGTAATCATTTGGTTTAAAAATTAAAATGTGACATCACTTCTGATGTTTTAGTGCTGTTTGTCCTCATCACCACTATGTGCTTATTAGCATATGGTTTATAAAGTCCTGTCTTTCTCTTCCCACTGAAATCTCTGTTTTAGAGAATGTGCTGGCCATGTTACTACCCAGTTAGTGTGTCTACATGAGATGCCCATGTTGTTACTGTGCAGTCATTTAGTACTTGCATAATCAAGTACTAAATGACTGGGCAGTAACCAACATTACTATGTAATAGTGTCCCAGCACGGTTGTGTTGTGATGCCCACTGCACAGTAGCTCGTTACTGCTGCTCAGTAGCATCACATCACGGTTTGTGGCCGACGACACTACTGTGCAGTAGTAATGAGTTACTGTGCAGTAAGCATCTTGTGTAGATGTGACCTGAGAGTCCTGCCAGCAGAAGCCTAACTGGATAAAATGGATGCCATTGCACCCTTGGAACTTTTTTATTGATGCAGCTGTTCTTTATGTGAGAAGATAGAGAGTAAATAGGTTATGGCTTTAAACCTCCTAGTGGCTAAGGATGTTTTGGAACTGTACGGATTAGTCAGTTCCAAATGTGTTATAGGGGAAGCGTCAGAAATCGATTCCATCTGTCATCCCTCCCTTTGCCCCGTCTCCCCTCAACCTTTCCCCTCCTAACTCTTCACAGAACTCAGGTTGGAGAGAAGGAGGATTCTGCTGCAGTACAAAAGTAATGACTGTGTAAAAGCTCGAGATTTTATTGGAGGATATATTTAAATTGGGTAATGGCTGAAAGGCTAAACTTGAATTAATACTTACCTTACCTGATTTTACTGTACAAACCTGCAGCTTTCATTAGATGATCAGACAGATACTACCTATGCTTTGTATTGCTGAATTCATCAGGGGCCTGGGCTATATAATTTTCCTTCTCATTTCTCTTTGCTCTTGCCAGTGGGTGCATTTACACGTGTGCTTTAATGCACAATAGCTTATTCTACTGCACATTAAAGCGTCATGGCAAAAACAGAGTTAATATGCTAATCCACAGTAGAATTAGTCTACTGCACATTAAGTGGCGAGTGCCTCCTGAGTAGCAGGCACTTGCTTTTGCTATTGGGCATTGGGGCAGCCTAATCAACCTTTATTTAGTGCCTTATATTAGAGGTACTAAACTTAATGCATGGTAGCAAAAGCACATTAATGAATGTGTAGACATGCCCAGTGAGAATCTCAGGGCACTTTTCACATGGGTGGGGAGGGATACAGCACTTTAATTATCATGGTTCTGAGAGCTGCTCTAATTAAAGTGCCACAGTGTCTTGTGTCAGTATCCCCATGCTTCAAAATGGCGGTGTGGACCCTTGAGCCAAAGTTAATTTGGCGAGCTTTAATTCAAGCACCTCTGCTGCCTTTTTGAAGTGCGGCAAAGCTGATACATGAGACACGGGAGGGTGCTGGAGCACAGTAATTATCATGCTCAATCAGACTGGATTAGTCAGAGCAGGCTCTGCACTCGTGCACAGGCACCCTCAGAAACAACACAAGTTAGTGAGAACTGTGGGAGAATAGTTTGGTTAACTCAGTGATCCAGATCCTTAGCTTCCAGGGTACTTAGAGCCAGAACCAGATATTTACCTTTTAATCTCCTTCCAGTTGTCTGCTTATAAAAGCAAGCAGACCTACCTCAGCCAGGTAAGTGCTGAAGCTTTTAAAAGTTTTAGTTATTTAAATTGGTACTGAAAGGCTGAGTTTTAAGCCTCTTGTGGGGTTTGTACACAACACGGGGGTTTAATTCTCCCTAAACTGAAGCAGTGTTTTTTTTTTTGTTTTTTTGTTTTTTAAAACACTGCTTCAATTTAGGGCGAAGTATACCCCCACCCGTGTCATGTACACCCGTGTTGAAGCCCGATCCTTACCTGCCTCTCCAGTGGCGGGGATGGGAGAGCAAGCTGCTGGTGGGCAGAGTGGTCCCTGAGCTGCAGGGATGGGGGGAGCGGGGCAGAACGGATTCTTCCCTCTGCGGCAGTGGCG